CACAGTGGCTGAGCAGACGCCACAAGCATGGGCCAAAAGCCCTCCCCCTGTTACTGCCCTTCAGCAGCTGATGTAGTGGCAAGCTACCTCTGAATGTGGAGGTTGAATTTACCCCCAGTGGGCCTATTCTCTGTTAAATGGTCTGTGCTAAGGCCCCAATGCTAGTGTCTGTCACTGCATCCCATTGCAGTGAGTTCCACAAGTGAATTATGTATTGTTTACTAGATTCATTCTCGGCTGGGTTCCCTTCAGGCTTCATCGCTGAACAAACATTGAGTAATCTGAAGAATACCAGATATTTCACACTTTGATGAGAAAGAGGACGTGCTATTTTTAGCCCATCTTCCAAAGTCAGGTCAGAAGTGTATCAGGAGAAGAGGACTTAATTCATTATGCAGTTAACCTGACATATCTGTGAACACGGTGGATCTGAAGCCACAATTGTTTGACACATTTCAGTTGCCCTAAAATATTCTTACCCAGCAGTTGTTAATCTGAGAAAAATGAGAATTACTCTGTAGGGGGTGGGATGAAAGAGGTTGTGGAATTTCAGTTCCTTGAGGCAGACTCAATATGGGTTCTGTAAGGGAAGATCTTGTCTCACTAACCTGTTAATGTTCTTTGAGGGGGTGAACAAACATGTGGACAAGGGGGATCCAATAGATATTGTTTACCTTGACTTCCAGAAAGCTTTTGATAAAGTTCCTCATCAAAGGCTCCTAAGCAAGCTCAAAAATCATGGGATAAAAGGACAAGTCCTTTTATGGATCAAAAACTGGCTAATTAATAGAAAACAGAGAGTGAGTATAAATGGGCAGTTCTCCCAGTGGAGGGGGGTAAGCAGTGGGGTACCACAGGGATCAGTACTTGGTCCACTGCTTTTTAACTTGTTCATTAATGATTTGGAGTTGGGAGTAAGCAGTGAAGTGGCTAAATCTGCGGATGATACGAAGTTGTTCAGGGTGGTGAAAACCAGTGAGGATTGTGAGGCACTCCAAAGGGATCTGTCAAAGATGGGCGAGTGGGCGTCAACATGGCAAATGGGGTTCAATGTGGCCAAGTGCAAGGTGATGCACATTGGAGCCAAAAATCCTAAATATAAATACACATTGATGGGGTCTGAACTGGCAGAGACAGATCAAGAGAGAGATCTTGGAGTTGTAGTAGATAACTCACTGAAAATGTCGAGACAGTGTGTGACTGCAATAAAGAAGGCCAATGCTATGCTGGGGATTATTAGGAAGGGTATTGTAAACAGATCAGCCAATATCATAATGCCGCTATATAAATCAATGGTGCGACCTCATCTGGAATACTGTGTGCAATTCTGGTTCTTATGTTCTTATGTTCTTATGTTCTTATGTTCTTATGTTCTTATGTTCTTATGTTCTTATGTTCTTATGTTCTTATGTTCTTATGTTCTTATGTTCTTATGTTCTTATGTTCTTATGTTCTTATGTTCTTATGTTCTTATGTTCTTATGTTCTTATGTTCTTATGTTCTTATGTTCTTATGTTCTTATGTTCTTATGTTCTTATGTTCTTATGTTCTTATGTTCTTATGTTCTTATGTTCTTATGTTCTTATGTTCTTATGTTCTTATGTTCTTATGTTCTTATGTTCTTATGTTCTTATGTTCTTATGTTCTTATGTTCTTATGTTCTTATGTTCTTATGTTCTTATGTTCTTATGTTCTTATGTTCTTATGTTCTTATGTTCTTATGTTCTTATGTTCTTATGTTCTTATGTTCTTATGTTCTTATGTTCTTATGTTCTTATGTTCTTATGTTCTTATGTTCTTATGTTCTTATGTTCTTATGTTCTTATGTTCTTATGTTCTTATGTTCTTATTTCTGAGACAAACATCTGCAGGTGTCGGGCAACTCTGGGTCTGGGGGCAGCAGAATTATTGCAAGGGATCGGTTATTGCAAGGGATCCGTTTGGGTAGGTTTCCACCTTCTCCCCACGTTTGCCTCCATGGCGGCTGTGTCTCCCCAAATCTGTGTTGGGCTTCATCTGCCAACTGACTTGCTGCAGTGCAGCCATGCCTCCCGAACTGGGTCCACCTGCCTTGAACCCCTCATCTGGACAGGCAGCATTGGTCCAGCATTAGACGAAGGCCCCCAGTGTGCATCAGCCCAGTGAAGGCGTCTTGCCTGCTCACAAGCAGAACTGCCTTTTTTGAGAGACCTGGGTAGGGTGTATTGGCTCTCATTGCCCACCTCCTCCCCTCTCTGGCAACAGCTGGAAATGCCTACACCTTAATTGAGGCGTGGGCTGCTGAAGTCCTTCAGGGAGCTGCTGCTCAGCTGGTGGCTTCCTTGCAAACCTGTTGGTTGGCTTCCTTCCTTGGCCCCTCCCATATATCTGCAGTGCCCAGAGCTGCATCAGACAGCTGCCAGGAGGCTAGGAGCTTGACCAGGATGCTTCCTCTTGATCACTCCAGGGCATCCTCCTAAGTGTGGAGTAGGAGGGTTAGTCCCAGACGAGGCAGGCATGTCATCCCATCTTTACAAACAGCCGCCTCCCACCCATTTCTAAAACACCAGTGTGATGAAGGCAATCTCATTTGACTTGCTTCTCATTTGCCCTTAAGCAGTGTCTTCCTGTGAAGAACAAATTAAGTGGGGCTTTCAGGGAATCCACATTAAACCCCTTTGGAGTACTAGAGCTCAGACTTGCTAGATGTGAAGCAGGGAAGAACGTTCTCTCCATGAGGAACATTTTGTATTCTGCTTTTAACATTATTTGTGTTAGACTGATACCTATCGGTGTCTTTGGGAGGCAACTTACCACTTAAAAAACAGGGTTAAAATCAAAATCAAAAAGTATCCACCAATTATTCTGTCAAGGACTGGAAGCTCATTGAGCATCAGCGCAAATTCCCATAAGTACAAACAAAGGCTGATTTTGCACTAGAGCTGCTTCGATGATGCGCCGCCGTTTGCCCCGATATTGTTGGTCAATTTCACACCCAAAGCCGCGGGGCTGCATTTGACCCGCAGCTTCGCCCGATTTCCTCCGTAGTTTCTTGAGCCTCTAAAAACAGGATCACAAAACTGCGGGGGAAATCGGGCGAAGCCGTGAGTCAAAATGCAGCCCCGCAACTTCAGGTGTGAAATTGACCAATAGTATTGGGGCAAATGGCGGCGCAACATCGAGGCAGCTCTAGTGCGAAATCAGCCAGAGTCACAGTTAACTGTTAGCAAAGAAATCATTCTAGGAAGCTGCAGCAATAACTCCAAACTATGCAGACACACAAATCTTTCTTGCACTGTGTCAGGTCTTTTGTCTGTACTATCTACGTTGATAGGAGGTAGTTAAAACAAGAAACCTTTTGTTTCAAGTATCTGAGTGTACCTTAATATGTCTCCTACATACATGTATTGCTGCTTTTCAAATGTATGGAGGTGCTGCTTTGATTAATAAACTACAGATTCATTTAAAAGTGTTATTGAATTAATCGTATCTTTTTGTCATTATAAATTTTCTCAATTGACAGATGATAATAGTACAACTAGAGTCATGTGGGGGTCCACAATTTTTTTTGATGTTAAAAAGGGGTCCGGAGGGTCGAAAAAATTGGCAACCAGTGGGCTAGACCAATGAGAGAGGTTTGTATCAAATTAATCCCCCCCCCCCGAAAAATACAACAGAGAATTCTTCTCTGACACTTCTCTGACAGTGTTATGCAGTGTGATAAAAACAATTTGTAGGTCTGCACTTGATGTCACAGGAGCTTACTGTTTTTCTGTTCGGCGGGTGCTGGTGAGTGTTCTGAAGGTGCAGAAATAAGGACAGCACAAACATCTAAGCTGGATTGCATAGACTTAATCATTGTCAGTATTGTACTTTTAGAGGCAAACTGACTGGTTGCACTTAATAGAGTTGTTATAAACAGAGCTATCTTAAATAGGTTCCAAAGCATAAAATGAATTCTCATGTTCTTCCGGAAGTAGATTACAATCCAGCTGGAAACTGGAACTACATTGAAGCTAAAGTTTTTGGAATATGTATCTATAAGCAAGCTCTGCAAGATTACATATTTATCCTACTGCTTCTCAGTTTAGTGTTGCAATCTAATCATACGTTCTAATCGTACGTTCTTGGAAGTAAGTAGGATTGATATCAGTTGAGCTTTCTAGATGGCACTGTTAAGACTGGGTTGTAAAAGGCCTATGAAAACGTTTTAAATTGCTTTTTACTGTGTTATGATTGCGCTCGGCAAAATCAAGTACGGTAGGTCCCTGTCTGAGTGATTTGTCCAAGGCCATGAAGTGAGTCCATGGCAGGAATGGGGTGTGAGACGCTGTCAGCCAAACACCAGACTTTCATTGCCTCTGTATGTCTGATAGATCCTGCAAGTCCTTTTTCTTGGCTATTAGCAAGATATTGTGTCCATTTAAGATTATTACATGAGGTTTAATCTCTTTCCTAAAAGCTTTATTTGCCTTAAAAATGCAGTTCTTAAATCTGAGTTTACATGACTCAGAGAATCAGGTGATGTAGTTTTGTTTGATTCCCCCCCCCCTTTAAAAAGTATATTGCTTATAAAAGAATAATGTATAGAGATGACCTGAATGTCCCAGGCTGGCCTGATCTTATCAGATCTCTGAAGCTAAGCAGGGTCAGCCTTGGTTAGTATTTGGATGGGAGACTACCAAGGACATCCAGGGTTGCAACGCAGAGGTAGGCAATGGCAAGCCACCTCTGAACGTCTCCTGCCTTGAATACCCTACAGGGTCACTCTAAGTCAGCCGCGACTTGACAGCACTCTCTGCTACCTCTGTAGGGCAGAAGCCTTCCAGCCCAGCCTTTTCCCTCCTATGTTGTGATTTTATGCTCTGACTTGATTTTGCTGACTGTTGAGACTTTTCTTCAGATGTATGGGCCCTGGCCGCTTCCCAGCAGTAACATTTCTGTTTCGTCTTCCTTCTTATTTAAGAGCTCTGCATCTGGGATGACTGTCTGAATGATACGACTTTCTATGTTCCCTGCAGAAGGAGCAGCTCCCAGTAACTGAAGATGATGATGATGATGGGAGTGACAAGGAAGATGAACAGCCGCAGGTGATTGTACTGAAGAAAGGAGATCTGACTGCAGAAGAAGCAATGAAGATTAAAAGAGAGACAAAAGAGGTTTCCAAGGCTGCAGGTATTATTTGGAAATGCTAACTTTTCTTCCCATGGTAAACAGCAAACAGAGAGGGGTGTGAACTGTGACCACCGTTTCCGTGTAAGTTGTCATTCAGGGTGCTCGGCAAAACACCTGGTGTTGTAATTTGGCAGTAACTTTAGAGGAGGTATATTCCATCCTTCTATGCCCAGATTCCTTGTCCCCCACTGATCTTGCTCTATGGCCACTGCCTCCCACCCTTCCGGTTGCCATCGAACTCACTGCCCCCCCCCCTCATGTCCAGGTTGCAGCTGATGCAGCTGTTCCAGCTGTCTAGGGAATTCACATGGGTGTGCCTTCCCTCAGTCCCCCCAGCGACTTTTGATGACAAGTAATAGGATGGGTGGAAGGCAGGGAGCATAGCAACAGTAAACAGGATGGATGGCAGTAGCATTTGGGGCAAAGGGGCAGATGGCTGGATGTACCAGTGCCTGACTAAACCGAAGGCTCTCATATACAACCATTTGTGTGAAAAGCATACACCAGTTTGACATGGTTAAATCTTTCCCACTGGGGAAGAAGAGTCTGAACAGCCTTCCCTTTAGGGGGATACCTTTAGCTACAATCTAACACCTTGATAAATACTAGTGGTACTCCTGTGACATTGTAATGGTAGCTCACTCGTTGAAGTTAAACGTGTCTCTGTGTGTGTTAAATAAGAAGCTGAAATATGTTAATGAAATATGTTTATGCTTCCGTCTAAATTCTAGAGAGACTTACTGTGCTGTCAAAGGTAATTCTTAAGATATACAATTTCATGGAGGGAGAAAAATGATAATTGGTATATAATGCCTTTTTCAGGTATTCATTATAATCTCTAGAAGAACTGATTTCCCGCCCCCCTGTTGCTGTTCCAGTACATTTGGCCCCTGGGAGATTGTAATGTATGTATGAGTCCAAAAACTTGGCAGCCAGTGTCCTTACTCATTCAAATTATAATATTATTCTAGTCTTGTTCAGCTTGCTTGAGGTTGTTCTCTCTCTCTCTCTCTCTCTCTTTTTAAACCATATGCCACACATTATCTACCAGGGCATCAAAGTACATTTCCAGTGTCCCCGACTGCTGCTTTAGCACTTTCAGAGTTTATGATGACATTTAGCTGATGGGCAGCCTTGGTGAGCTGCTGTTGTTGTATGCGACTTTACCTTTGACTTTGGGGAAATCAGTTTATAGTTCTCTTTACTGCAGTTTCTGGTAACACTTAGGCAAGAGGCTGGCTACTCAGAGTCAAAATAAAGGTCTGGGAGCAGGCTATAATGCTCTGGCTAAAAATTCATTACAACCCAAAGGGTTTAGTACCTTACTTTTTAGCCTCGGATCCTTACCCTCCCTGGTCCACACAAATTCTTAATAAATTAAATCAGATTGGCCTATTCCCAGAAGATCTCTTCTATGGAAGCCTATACAAGGCAAGAACGACTGTTGTGCAGAGGCTTCACGATATTGAATCACAAAATGAAGAAGCTTTGCTACCTGAGAACTACAGAAACATAAAATCTTGACCAAATTTTACTGTTGCCCCTTATTTAGTTAACATTACCTATGAGCCCTATAGATGGGCCTTTTCCAGAGCCCACTCCCTTCCGCTGTACTGCAAGGTAAGTTCACTCGAGTCCCAATGCATGAACGTATATGCCCATGCATGGCTAATATGGTGGAATCAATTACTCATGTC